ATCGGAGGTTTATGCCCCTCTCCCTCAACTCATGTGTTGAAATCTAACCTCCAAGGTGATGGTGTTTGGAAGTAGGACCTTTGAGAGGCTCTGCCCTCCTGAATCGAATCAGTGCCCTTATAAAAGAAACCACAGTGAGCGCCCTCGCACCTCCACCAGGTGGAGGACACAGTGAGAAGATACCGCCTGTGAGCTGGGAGATGAGGTCTCACCAGACACCAGCTCTGTAGTACTTGCCTTGGTTTTGTGCCCCTCAACTCCAGAACTGTGAGAAGCACGTTCTGACATTCTGTTGTTTATAAGCTGCCGGTCTCCAGTCCTCTCCTATAGCAGCCTGAATGGACACCTGAGTCAGCCTGCAGTCCCATCTAGGACCCACAAAAGTGAGGGTCCTGCATTGGCCAATGGCAGGACCTTGAACCTCCATAGCTCACTAAGGAAAACATTACATAATGAGGCTTCATGGGTGATATACCCACTCCCATCAACCCCCTAACCCTGACAGCAAAAGCAGGTTGGTTGAAGCATTAGAGAGAGGAGGTGTGGAGAAACATCAGGCCTGAGCCTTGCTTGCCAGAGACCCGAGCACCTCTGTCATGTTAGCTGTTACTGATGTTGCTGTTGTTTCAGTGAAATCAAAAGGGCGAGGTGTTTGCATTTGCCAAGGGAAACCTGGGAAGAGTGATCATTTGAACAGCTACTCATCCTCAGATAGTTTTAGTCACGATCATTTTTGGAGGGCAATGTCTTTACTCAGCATTTAATGTTATTTTCAAGAGTTGACCTTCCTGAATCCATTTTAAAGCTCCAGCTTTTGGTGTTTCAACAAGGGGCTGTCTATAGAGATGGACTGTCCCCAGAAGTCCTATTTCTTGGCATATGGCTCAACCCTGCAGTGGAAGAATGAAGTTATTTTTTCCTTAATGGGTTTTGTTGTAGTAGTAGTGATTTACCTAAATTTTGTTATGTATTTGACCTTGTACATTTTATAAAAGTGCATTGAAACAATGAAACTTCATCTATGGGAAGAGGAAATACCTACTTTAGTCCACAAAAACTGTCCTGGGTCACCTTGACCAATCAATTGCTTGGATGGCAGAACAGATGCAGAAAGTTCACTTTGGCATCAAGCGGTTGATGAGTTGCTTCCATTGAGGCCTCTTCCAATTTAAGAAAGAAGAACCATATTTGGTAACACAATAATTCATGGGTATCTGTGTTTTCAGGCCCAGATAAAATTGGAAAGGACTGTGAAGATTAAAGGAAACTTTAGAATTTTCTATAAGGTACCCTGTGTTCTAGGAGGGAAAAGGTGGTATCAGGTCGAGGCAAATTAGCTTAATTCTGTTACCTACCACAGGTAGACTCTTTTGTCCATTTGTTGACTAATCAAATATAAATTCCATTAAAGAGCTTTGGATTTATTCTTAATTTGAATTAAAGGAGCTCAATTTTCTAAAAGAACTGGCCTGCTAAGGATTCCTAGCACACTGTTCAAAGTGTGCTAAATTTGTACCTGAAACCTCGAGGGATGCCGAGTCTCATGTGGTGAACACACACACATGCACACGATGAGTTAAATCTAAGAATAATAAAAGAATAAATCTAAGAATTTTTACATTACAAAATAAATCAGTTGTGAGGCCCTTGTGATTAGATTATTGTGAATTGCAGATCTCCTATCAGGAAAATTTAATTTCAGAGCTTCTTTTTCTCTCTTAGCAAGTGGCTTAGGCTTACACGGGATGTACTAAGAAAATAAACAATTTTTAGATTTCAAATGGCCGAAAGAGAAGATTTTAAAACACACATTTTAATCTAGAAGCATAAAGTTTGAAATTTTATTTGGGAATATATTTGAACAGGTAAAATTTTAGTTTAAAAATTGGTAAACTTGAATTTTAATCTGAAATCAAACCCTCATGAAATTACACTCACTCACTACTCCATGTCATTTAATCCTCTATTTTTATGGAAGGCTTATGTTATGGCAAAAGAAAAAAAGTAGATATGGCTCCTCTATTACCTTCTGGCAGCTAAATGTATATATATATATTTTTTTAATATCTGTTAACAGAAACGTCTCAGTTGGACAAACAATCAATCATCTAAGGCTTTCTCCCATGTAAAACCCTCCCAGCTCTCCCCAACCAAAGAGATGAAAGAAGTTCTACACTACACTGCTTGCTGGGACCTCATGTCATCCCATAGTCCTGCTCTGGCTTCTAGGTGAGTCCTGTAGGACAGTATACTCAGGCAGAGAGAAGAATCTCTGGGCATCACATATAGCAATTTAGCAGGGTCTCAGGATTGAGCTTAAGGGGGATAATATATTTGTCTGAACTGTTTCACCCATGGTTTTAGCCCTAACCTCTGGGCAGTCTGGTCTGAGCCTTGGTTGGCAACTTTTCGTGTAAATCCTAAGTGGTCCTCTGCAACCTCTGACGTGCATGCCATTTCTCCCATGCCTGGTCTGTCTTGAGCTGTCTTTGGTGTTTCTCCAGCCACAACCTTCATCTCCATCTAGAAACTTATTCTAATTTCTCTGGAGTATTTGCCCATCTTGCTCCCCTTTCCTGCTGTTTCACAAATAAGGAGCCATACTACCTGTTAAGATGGGGAGAAGAAAGGCCACCTGTGTGGGCCAGCAAAGACCAGCAACAGGGCCAGCAAAGACCTCCAGTGTCCAGGGGTCTGGAGGGATCTAACTCTGGCCCCAGGTCCCCTTGTCTTTTCACGTGTTTTAATGATCTTCCAAATGAAATTCCATTGGGCTTTTAAACCTGGCAGTGCCCCAAACCATTGTCATTGCCCAAACGCCTATGCCTTGCCCAGGAATGTCACACAGGTCTGTTGGGCACCCATCCCTGCGTGCCATCTTTGCTGTGAGGCCAGGAGAAAGTCCTAGAACCATTCCTGTATCTTCTGCCACACACAGAAGGAACGTTGTCCCCTGATGTAATGTTTCTAAAGCCAACTAGCTGTGTATCTCTACAAGTTCCTGCAACCTTCCCAACCTCCTCAGGGGAGTTTACCTTGGATTTTTCATTTCTGTTCACTAGAGCAATACACACCTCAAAGGCTGTTGGTAAGAGCTACTGAAGTGGACCCTCAGTACCCATGACTGTGTCCATGAAAGGCTGTATGGTGGGGCCTGCCACTTCATTCCAGCTGGTCTCTCTGAACACTGGATGTTAGAGACTCCTCTAGAAGAAAACCTGTGTGATCCCGCATCTACAGCAAGTCTGACTTGGTGTTTGTGGGCCCCTCCTACACCCTAGCAGTCGTCGGGGCGCACATGTGAGGTATGGAGTCAAGACAACCCTTCCACCAGTTCTCACCTCACTGAGCAGGAAAATTGGTTTTATGTGCAGGTTGATGGCATCCAGGCTTCAGTTCCTTTAGACGTAGGTCTAACTGCTGAGGCCCCAGAGGTGCAGCCTAACATGCAGGCTTCCAAAGGACTTAGCAGGAAAGTGCTTACAGACGTTTGAACTCTTCACCCACATCAAGAGCACATAAAAAATTGAAGAGAGTAGAGACAGAGGGAGGGTCAGTGAAATGGACTTTTGGAAAGTGGTGTTGGTGAGCTGGGAGTCTGATGCCAGCCAAAGGGCAAGGACTCCTCTCATCTCAAACCTGATGAAAAGGACTTCAAGACCCTGGAGAGCTATTAGATAGACAGAAGAAGAGGGGCCCTAGACCGCTGGTCACAGCAGTCTGGGGCCAACTCTGGCCTGGGGAGTTAACCTAAACATGGAGGGGCCAACAGCTTTGATTGTGAGCAAAGGCAGGGGCTGTTGGCTGAGTCAAGGTGGCACTCACAGACTTTGTCAGGCTAAGAACACCTTTCTTGTGCACCAAATGGAGGTCACAGCATAGTGAGAACTCCTGGAATATAGGACAATACAACCCAAACCTTAATTCCCTCTTAGCCCCACATCTGCCTTAAGGAGGATGTTTCCAATAATATGGGTAACAATAACGACAACCAGAAAAGTCTGTAGGTTTGAGGTCCGCTGGGCTCACAGGCTCATCCATTGCTCATCCTTCAAGTTTCCCCTCTGTCCAAGGCTGAGTCTGATGTTCATCAAAATTCTTCAGGGTTAACTGTAGATCCATCCCTCCTTAAGCCATTGCGGCTGCCTCTGGCCTCCTGGGCTGCATATAGCACCTGAGTGCTGCTGCAGTCCTACTTGTGACTTAGCTGGAGAGCCTGTACCTGCTGATGTTAACCAGTCAGGGTCTGTTACGCTCTGGTGCTAGTCACAGGGGGAATGAGGTGTCCTCTACTAATGTTCCACAGCTCTTTTAAAACTTCCAAAGTGGGAACATCATTCCCTCAGTCTTCTGTGACTCCCTGAGGATGCTGAAACCATGAAGAAATTTGGGTGGAGCTAGACAGGGTCTTACCCATGAATCTCATACATATATAAAAATAGGTATATTTTAAAGATATTATTTGACTCATTTATCAATGAGGGAATCAGGCAGTCATTATAACCTGCCAAACATACATATTTATAAATGAAGAATATTGAAATAAAAACTGGTTTTCCCACTGGAGATAGAGAGATCAACCAGACCCCTACCAGACAGAGCAGGATTTCCATGTTTATGGGGATCAGTTTGCATTGATATCAAGTACTTGTAACTTAATAGATTATGAAACAGCTCAAAGAGACAATAAAAGATTAGAATCTGATAAATTGCAGGGCTATCCTTTAGATAAGGCCTGTTTTCCATTGAAGTACAATTCTTTCTACAAACTCCAAAGCATCTCTTTCCTTTGACAGCCATACAAGACCCTAGGGCACCATTCACACTGGGACAACCCCATAAACAGTTTTTTCCTTGTTTCTCACAAGGGCATTTGGTGGCCTGTGTTGTGGTTCAGAAAACACCCCAAATAAGTCCAAGAAACAGCCTTAAGGTTGGGAGGCCGAGGCGGGTGGATTGTCTGAGTGCATGAGTTCCAGACCAGCCTGAGCCAGAGCGAGACTCCTTCTCTGAAAAATAGGGGGAGCCGGGCATGGTGGCTCATGCCTGTAATCCTAGCACTTTGGGAGGCGGAGGTGGGTGAATAGCTTGAGCTCATGAATTCAAGACCCTGTCTCTACTAAAAATAGAAAAACTGAGGCAAGAGGATTGCTTTAGCCCAAGAGTTAGAGATTGCTGGGAGCTACGTCACACTCTACCCAGGGCTACAGCTTGAGACCCAGCCTGTAGTCCCAGCTACTTGGAAGGCTGAGGCTAGAGAATCACTTGAGCCCAAGAGTTTGACGTTGCTGTGAGCTATGACACCATGGCACTCTGCCAAGGGTGACAAAGTGAGACACTGTCTCAAAGAAAGAAAGAGAGAGAGAGAGAGGGAGGAAGCACCTCAAGGGCTCTGACTCTCCCTCCTCCCTTGTTTCCTGTCTCTCCAAAAGCACAGGGTTGGAACTGTTTCCTGAAGTTTCCTTATCACTGCTTCTTGGGTATTTCTTTATATTGGTTGTATTAGTCTGCTCAGATGCTCAGTCTCGGTGGCTTATACAACAGAAATTTAAGCCAAAGTTAAGATTTTGGCAGGGTTTTTTTTGAGATAGAGTCTTACTTTTGTGCCCTCAGTAGAGTGCCGTAGCATCATAGCTCACAGCAACCTCACACTCTTGGGCTCAAGCGATTGGCTTGCCTCAGCCTCCCCAGTAACTGAGACTACAGGTGCCCACCACAGCCTCTGGCTATTTTTAGAGATGAGGTCTCACTCTGGCTCAGGCTGGTCTGGTTCCTGTGAGCTCCTCCTCCTTGGCTTGCAGGAGGCCATTTCTCCTTACACCTTCATGTGCCCATGTCCTAATCTTTCTTTCTATAAGGACACTGGTCGTATGGGATGAGGGTCCATCCTAATGACCCCATTTAAACTTACTTACCCTGTCTCTAAATACAATTACATGCAGAGGCAATGAGGAAATAGGACTTCAACACGTGAACCTTGTGGGGGACTCAATTCAGCTCCTCCCAGTGAGCGGGAGACACAAATTATTATGACCAGGCTGCGTATTTATAGGGACTGTAACATTCTTTGCACTCCATCCTAGCCCTTTTTGGGCAGGCTTCTGAGCCCGAGATGGTTTCTCAAGAGGATGTTTCAACTGGGAAGACCCAGCCTCACAGGGATCTCTTTAATTATTATATTTCCCCCAAGAAAATGAATGCCTCAGCCTACTTTGTGGGCTAATCTCTTGAAAAGTTGGCTAAGGTGATCTGAATTTCCTAGTCCTCACCACTCCTAACTGGATGGATGAAGTGTGGTTTCCAAACTGATAAAGCTGATATTGGCCCTGCGGTCCCTTTACAGGGAGCCAGGGGGGACAGTCAATGAGGGTCAATGACAAACAGGGACTATGAACAATAAGGCTCACATATCCTGAGCTGTTTGGGGCATTCTACATCAGTGTTATCTGTTGTTACAACATCAAATTGACTAAAGGTGCTATTACTACCTCTCGATGTACTTATGAGGAAACTGAATTTCAAATAAAGTAATTGGCACCCCACTACAACTAGGAAATGATCCGACGTTCCTACACTCCTAGCTACAATGCCACATACAGCTTAGGTGTTCTCAGGTGGTTTTGTAGGGGAGATAAAACATAGAATCTGTGCCTGGGGCCTGTGAATGAAACCAACAAAAGGCAGATGAACAGAGAAAAGGCACACGAAATTTATTTATACTCTTCCATGCACGAGAGGTTCTCAGGAAAAGAAGTGAAAACCCAAAGAAGTTGTTAGCCTTGGGGCTTTATATGCCATTTTAACCAAAGAGAAGTGGAGATGTGATTAGACAAAGGAAGATGGATTTAAGCCTCCTAGCAGCACTGAATTGTAGGAAAGGGACTTGGAACTGTACAGTAGGTAAATGTTCTTTGATAAGGTTTGCTATGCACACTTACCTTGGTGCCCAGAGTTAGTTTCCTGTTTCTGGCATGGCAGAAGGGACCCCTTTACAAATGGAAGTTTACACCTTGCTTTTAGGCAGGAAGGAGGCAGAGAGTCCTTCCCATGTCTGTTGTTTTCACAATTGCCTTCAGCTAAAAATATTTCTTAT